ACGCTCACTAGAGGATGTTTCATAATAAAGTATCTAAACTCTAGCTCTTTGGGGTTTTTAAAAGATTTTTTTAAGTTTATACTATACAAATATAAGAAAAATCAATGACCCCCTGGGACGGGGCCAATTTTAACTCCAGGGCTATTATTTGAAAAAACTTAGTGGACACTTATTGGAAGATGTTTCATGCTAAATTTCTTAGCTCTGTCTCTTTGTTTTCTTTTAATAGAAGATTTTTTAAGTTTTTACTATATACTCGTACAGATAGAGAAAAACAATGCCCCCACCCCTGGGGCGGGGCCGATTTTGACCCCAGTGCTTTTATTTGAACAAACTTACTAAAAGATGTTTCATGCTAAATATCTAAGCTTTAGCTCTTTGTTTTTTTTAAAAACACGATTGCTTAAGATTTTTCTTTCGGTTGGCATGGCAACCAGTGTTCTGCACTGCATGAAATTAAATTCTTTGAACAATTTTTAAAGGTGACCACAAAAATAAAATGAAAACTCAATGTTACAATTATTTTAATATCTTACATGCAGAAGGCCTTTTTGTTGACTCTTGTTTTCGTTATTTACCATAAATTATAAAATGTACCTAAACGCTAAAATATGTTATGTTTCATTACTTTTTCCCCTTCTTTTGTTCAATGTTCGAAATTTGGTTTTTGTTTTTAAGCACCTCTGAAATTCCCCCAATATGAAACAAATGAAAAATGAAATAATAGAATTTATTGGCTAGAATCAACAATGTATAACAAACTCTTTATTTTTACCATCATTAATGTTTCAGGAGAAAACACATTCAATTTAAGATGACACCTAAGATGAACAATTCTGGTGTTTTGGTCTAACAAAAAAATGTATGTTACAGATTCAGTCAATTTGAGTACATATTGGATTTGATATGGACATTTTGGACTCGGAAAATGAAAACGAGGCTTGAAGGTGTACAAAATGGATTGATTTGGCTTCGATTTGGACTTGAACAAGAGAGCAATGATGGCCCTGAAATCCTTCACCTGTATATAGGTCCCTGGGCCAAGGCCAATTTTGAACCAGGGGCTTTTATTTGAACATACTTGGTAGACACCCATTCGAAGATGTTTCATGCTTAGTATCTAAACTCTAGCTCTTTGGTATTTTATAAGAAGATTTTTACAATACACATATGAGGAAAATCAATGACCTCGGGGTGGGGGCAAATTTTACCCTAGGGCCCTTATTTAACCCATTACACAATATACACGACTTTTAACGCCTTTTTCACCCCCCCCTTTTTGTTGTCTCTTATGGTGAAAAATGCCTTATTTAGGCCCCCTACACTTGTTTCTGTTTGAGAAATGTTGCTTAAAAAAGTTACCACTTTTTCGGCGACCCCCCCCCCCCCAATCAAAAGATACATCAGGGGGTTGCTAGAAGGGGAATGTGCCTCTTTCTGTTCTGGGGGTTTGAAGGGGGCAGTATTCCCCCTTATCGCCAAGAAAATTTTGGACTTGTGAGAGGCTTAAAATGACCAGATCGATCATTAGGTAACGTGTAACCAACGCTGAAAAGCATTTGACTCTATCTCAATCAATTGAGAAGCTGCAGCCTTTTGAAATCAATTTTGATGAAAAAAATTAATGCAAAATACTGATTTTTGGCAATTTTGAGATGTCCCCTATTGTAACAGGATCTTTAAGCCTGAGCATGTTGTTGCAAAGGCAATGGTCCAGTAAACATTTGTGCCAAGTTGTAGTATTGAAGCAGTTTATATAGTTTTATATCAATTTGAACTTGTAACGTCACACTTTTCAATGAAAACAGCCATTTTTCACAAAACGCTCATGAAGTAATGGGTTAACAAACTTGGTAGACACCCATTAGAAGATGTTTCATGCCAAATATCTTAGCTCTAGCTCCTTGGGGTTTTTAAAAGAAGATTTTTTAAGTTTTTACTGTATAAATATAGGGAAAAACAATGACACCCTGGGGGCGGGGTCGATTTTTACCCCAGGGCTTTTATTTGAACAAACTTGGTAGACTAGAAGATGTTTCATGCTTAATATCTAAGTTCTGGCTATTTGGGTTTTTAAAAGAAGGCTTTTTAAGTTACATTATATAAATAAGGAAAATCAATGACCCCTGGGGCGGGGCCATTTTTGATCCCAGGGCAGTTATTTGAACAAGATTGTTAGACACTGACTAGATGATGTTTCATGCCAAATATTAAAGCTCTAGCACTTAAGGTTTTCTGAAAGAAGATATTTTAAATTTTTTCTTTCCGTTGCCATGACAACCAGACTTCTGCTTGGAATTAAATTCTTTGAACAATTTTTGAAGTTGACTAGCAAAGGAACATTTCTGTGGAGTTTGAATGAAATTGGCCTAGCGGTTTATAAGCAGATGTCGTTTAAAGTAAAAATTTACGGACGGACGCCGGACGGACGGACGCCGGACGAAAAGAGATCACAAAAGCTCACCATGTCACTTTGTGACAGGTGAGCTAAAAATAAAAGCGAGGTTAAATGGAGTACAGTATGCATTTGATACAGATTTTTGTACTCAGGAATAATGAATTAATGATTTTAGAACAATGTGTGGTGCAAACCTTGACGTTTAATTGTTATATTTTATCAGGTGTTAAGCACAAAGAAATTCGTAATAGTTATATCACATGGAAAAATGATGATGTCATGTGATAAAATGTTATATCACTTACTTTGTTTGGAATCAAAATATTGTTCTTCTTTCTCGGCTTTACTTGCTGTTTTCAGTTTCTTTTGTAACGTCTCTCCTAGTTCTGTCAGCTCTTTTCTCTTTTTATCTCCATGTTTATGAATTGTATTAACTTCTTTGACCCTTTCGTCATTCAATCTTTTCACAGAAGCATCAGTTTCATCTTGTATTTGTGTCATTCCCTCGGCAGTTTTAGACTCAAGAGATAGATACTGTTCTTCTTTCTCAGCTTTACTTGTTGTTTTCAGTTCTTTTTGTAACGTCTCTCCTAATTCAGCCAGGTCTGTTCGTTCTTTATCTCCTTGTTTATGAATTATATCAATTTCTTTGCCCTGTTCGTCATTTAATCTTTTCACAGAAGCATCAGTTTTATCTTGTATCTGTGTTGTTCCCTCAGCAGTTTTAGACTCAAGAGATAGAAGATCTTCTTGTTTTCTTCTAATCATTTCTAGCATAATTTTTTCATATTGATCATCTAATCCAGCCTTCATCTTGTCTTGAAGTACTGTTGCCACATCGTCTAGTACTTTTCTTATATCATCTTTACCAATGACAAGAGTGTCATTTTCTAACTGTAATTATAAAGACCATAAAATATACAATATCAATAAATATACAAGTACATCAGAATTCAATATCTTTTAATCATAAAGTGTACATTTCAAAGATATAATTGATCTATAGTATCTATTTGTAACAAGTACGTGTACAATGTTTGTTATCACTAATTTGTAAATTACATGCTGATCAAAATGATGATAGTTTAAAATGTATAAGCAAACCTTTGCCTATTGTAGTAAACACAATAAGTGTTTGTTCCTGTGTCGAGAAAAAGTCACAAGGGCGTAACCAGGTATGTTTACAAACAAAATATTTTGAAAATTAGTATAAATCTTCAGCAAAAAACAATGATTGCCGTGTATTTAATTGAATAGTCTGACTTTATTTTGCATCTTTTGGAGGGCATTATGACACACCCTACCAGGTTATAAGATCAAATGTTTGTATATTTCCTTACGAGCCATTGCAATACGGTCAACATTTAAGAAGAGCAAACTATTTTGTTCCGAAACATTTTATAATGTTTACGATCAGTAAATAACAGGCATCCTATTTTACAACGCATCAACGATAATCGACCATAAGTTAAGGAAAACAGTATATTTTTTGTAAACAACATGATTTGTTCCAAAATGTAATGCACTGTGTTCTAGTCATACGTCGAAATGTGTAACGTATTCAAATGTTGAAATAGTTTAATCACCTGTATAAGTTTTTGTTTAGCATTCTGCGCATGCGTGTCAGTACCTAAATACACGGGGTCAGAAAGGAGTTGCTGTAATAGTTGAAAGTAATTCTGAAGGTCTGAGTCTTCTACTTCAAGAGTTGATGAATGTCGAACATTTCTTCCAATTTCTCTTGCCTGGTCAAAATAGAGTAACAATTCTTATATGTATTTTTTTATCTAAAACATTGTAAACATGGTTTTATCTAAAAAAGGGTTGAAAGCTCTATCACAATAATACAATATTTCTATAGAACATATGCAATACATAGCTGCAATTGTCAAGCAGAACAAATATGATAATAAATACTGCAAATGTACATTATACATATATTACATTAAATACAAATCATGTAAAGAAATAACTTGAATGTTAAATTTTTTTCTTAACTTCATGGTACAGTTTTCTCAAGTTTGACGTTCTTTGTTCTTTGGCTTATGAAATATACTGACTGTAAACTAGCATACTGTTAAATAATAGTAAAAATCATTCCTTACTAGTATACATGTATATTTTTCCAGAAAACAAGATGAAATCACAATTTATTATAACTATCATACCGTAGTATTAAATTCCTTAGATCATAAAAAAACAAATACATATTTAATTACCAAGTACTAAACATAAGTCTTCATAATAATTATTAAACAGTATCGAAATATTGTTTACCTCTTCAAATATATTTATCTTGTTATTGAGGTTTTCATTTACTTTACCCTGGAAGTCTTTGTGATTAAGGATAACGCTGATTATACCATTAAAGTCTGTTTCTGCTGCAGATGCCTTTCCTTTATACCCATCTGGGGGCATGAAGCACTTTGCTACTTCCCAGAAATTACTGCACCACTGGGTAGCATCACTGTTTTTGTACGACGGACCGAAGTACCTATGTGCATTCTGTATTTCAGTTTTGAAGTTATCACATATCTTGATAGGACAGCCAGACGAATTGTACCGTGTTGCAACATTCCGATGATACATACATTTCCCACGCCCAACATTACATATTCTATTTGTAGGACACTTTACAAGATTTTCTGTACAGCAAACGGAACAAGAAGTCCCACTTGGTAAGCCATTTAGGTAACATATATCATGTAAACATTTCAGTTGAAATTGTTTGATCTCATAACAAACAAAAGGTTCAACTCCTTCTTTAGTCAACAATACAGCTAACTGAGCTTTAACCCAGTTATTGTATTTCTTTTCTAACAGTTTAGGGCTATATGAAGCCATTGTCTGCGAACTTTTGGCTTTTCGAAGTAAAGCATTACATATATTGGCGTGTCTTGTAAGCTCCAATCCAGACCTGAAAAAAAGTAAAATGCTTAATTATAGAGGATATTTAAGTTTTTCTATAAAATACAGGATTTATTTTTATCGAGTGATATCAAAATAAATATTCATGAGTGGCGGTAGCCAAGAGTGGAATAATGATTATTTTCATAACACAAGATGAAAATAATTCCTTTATTCACAAAAAATGAATTTCTGTTAATTGTATACATGTTTCTCTTTTTATAACATTAATTTTGCAAAACTTCCCCTTAAAATGCGTTCCAAAATAAAAAAGGAAATTCCAGATGTCCTTTTTACGGGTGTCGACCTACAGCCACTTTTTCAGCAACAAATTTACATGCAGAGAGAGAGAAATGGAGTGTTGACTGACATAGAGGAACAATTCCCCTATCTTTTAAACCTCAGACGAAACGCATTGTATCTGTCCGTTTTTCAGATAATAGTCCTCTATCTTTTTATATTGGTTTATTTTCTAAAGATAATGATCAGACTTATTTGATGAATACATGTATACATAGAAGTATATATTTCTTATACTTTTAAATGGGTAAGTAATGCTGACATTTTGCAGTCTATTCTCCGGAATCAGTATTAGTGCCTTCAAATTGTCTAATACTGTTAAATAAAATGAATATACATGAAACGTTTTTCTCCATATTCCTCATGCGTAAGTATTGTCTGTGCTTTTAATTGTCATTAAATATGTAGTAGAAAATACTTTTATGATATATGGTTTAGTAAAATAACGCAAACATTTGGTTTTATTGGACAATTTGTTTCTTTAATTAGAATTTTCCATCATACATCATACTGTCATAATGAAAATATATAGTAAATAAACAACAAAAATAAGAAAAAAAAAACAGTTAAAAGCTACCTAAAACTGATATTAGTATTTTTTCAATTTTAATCTAGTAGTATCATATTATTGTCAATTAACTTCTTATTTATACAAAATGCTTATTCTTTTAACTACAATGTAATCATTATTTACATTTTAATAATACTTATAATTATACTTATAATAATAATAATAATAATAATAATAATAATAAGATTATATTTAACAATATAACTGTTATATTTACGGGGATGTGTTTCCAAATTACCCATTACTTCAGTATGGGCAAGGAAAATTTGTTTGAAGTGGGAAATAGGTGAAAGATAATCATCTTTGCTTTCTTTAAAAAAAATGAACATGTAATTTACTTGTAAAATACATGTATAGCATTTAATTTAGCATTTAATGATAGGAAGATTTTTAAGTTTTACTTATTTTTTTCAAATTAGTATTAGATAAACAAATAAATAAAGGGATGAATAAAATAGTTTAGTAAATAACTATATGAATGAATAAAAAATTAATTAATCAATTAATTTATGTATTTATTTATTTACTTATTATTTATTTATTTATGTATTAATTAATAGTAAATAATCAAACAATAATTAAACAAAAAGAACGAATTATTAAATTGATTAATCAAAAAGAATAAATGAAAATACATTATTAATGGATGAATTATAAAGTAATTGATATGTGATTAAAAACATCAGATTGTTAATAAGTAATAAAAATGCAGTATATCAATATTATTTATATATGCAATAATGTGATTGATTGGTGTCATGAAAATATATTGTTTTATTGCTGAGTGAATATCTTAAATATATAATAAATAAATAATAATAAAAAATAAATAAAAAATACAAAGCTCATTCAACCAAAGTTTTATTTCAAAAGAGTTTTATAGCAATATGACAAATCTCTTCAACTTTTGATACTTTTGTTATAGTATTCAAAATAATGCGGACATTTTAAAGATAGCTGTTAGCTATGCATGCATATTCCATAAGTGCCGATTCAATGTTCTAAAATATCTTCACTCAAAGAAGTTCCAAATCTTGTGAGCAATCATTAGAGGCTAATCGTACAATCTCTAGTTGTATATTAATGTCCATTTCACAGACAGTCGATTTCACATTAATCATTTCTCTAGTAGTAGCAGTAGCACTAAAAGTCGTACCGCATAACGGAGAAATTATGTTAAACTTTTGGTTGATTAGTTACACAATTTGTGAGAATGTCTACACTATCTTCAGTGATTAAATAAAAAAAAGAATAAATGTGTTTTATAAATAATATGATAAAAATATAGCTTTCTAACATTATGATAACTTTTATGCAACACAAGTTAAACTTAAATAAATACAAGCAGAGGAGACAATATGAATACATAACTGGAAATGAAACTATTATTTTCATCTAAAATCAAAAGTATCTTGAAAAATATTAGGCCGTTTTCAACCAGGCTGCTTTGTTATTACAATTATAATATATTCAAAAGAATTTTTACTGATGAGTTTTTTTGATCGTTTTTCCCCATATTATTTATGTGATTTTCTTTGTTTTTTCATTGCTTTCTAAATTATCTAACTTGCGATAAAATGTATGTATAGAAAGAGCTTAAAGATTCAATTTTTAAATTTCATGCATTGTTCCTGTAACAAACCCAAATTAAGACAAAGTTGAGGTTACTGAACAATCATCAAATTAATTAAAATAACTAATAAATTACTTATGGAGAAGTCTGATCACATATCTAATTTTATAACTGATTATCGAAAATCACATATAAAAATCAATTTGAACATTGAAACATGTTAAGGATAAAATGTGTTTCAAAGAAAGATATCGGGTGTTTAACGCTAGTATTAAAATTTTAAAAAGGTTAAAGGCCAATATGTCTCTGAAATCCATAATTATTAAATTCTTTAGATATGTCAAACATGTGTTCAATAATGTTTAAATCATAGATTTAGAGCATGATGAGGAAAGTATGGTTTGATGTGCAGTAATGTGTCATAAAGGCATGGAAATGTAAACAAAGTAAATATTTTGACTTCCATACGAAAACTTATTCACAATAACTTTATCAATCGCAAAATTGTTCTATATGGAAAATAAGTGAGCACTATTTTTAAGAAATCTTACAAGCTACCCAAAAAATGTTGGAGAAATGAAACTAACAGTATTGTGAGGCATTACGTGACTTTAAGTTTAAGTATCAAAGATTATGGAAAAAAAACAGAAGTTTATGACACAATATGCCTTAGAAATCAATTATTATTAAATATTAAAATATGGCGCAATATTATATTACACAAAACTGAAAGCACCTTTAAACAAATCATAATATTTATACATTTTCCGGAATCAAATTAAAAACAACGTTAGTTGAAACATGATAAATTGAGAATACTAAAATCACTTCAGCAACGTCAATGCTAAATGTTATGCCTGATGTCTTCATCGCGCATTTAGAAGTGTTCGCGGTTTTTCCGATGCATCACTTGTCAAAACAAACATTATATTTTTTGCTACTCCTTATGTGACGCCGTTTTATATTAATATCCATTATACGTCCAATTGATTGTTTTATGTCAAATGCCTTTTTCTTTCTTCTGTAATCTGTAATATAAAATGAACAATTTCATTGCATTTTTTCGTCATCAAATTCTTTACTTGCTTTAATATAATAAAATAAAATAAAATAAATCAAACATTTATTCAATAGTTTCAAACGATCAAACTTTTATTGGAAACTTATCACTCATTTTAAGACTGACAACATTTGCATGTATCATATACTCAATCTGATTTGTGTGTGATATGAGTCTTATAAAATCATATGGCATACAAAAAGCGGTTTTCAAGTAGATGTAATTTTATTTATGTAATTTAATGCAAGGATAAATAATAATTCTAATATGTTACTTTTTATTTACGGACAAATTGGAACGAATAAAAAAAAAATTAGTGTTTGAAATTATTTGTGTCCAATAGGATTGCAGTACTTCAAATGAATCGTAACACATTTACTTTGGTAAATCGGCAAATTGTTATTCAGTCCAGTAAATCGACTGTTTGTAAAAATAATAGAAACGACCGGTTAAAATTTATTAGTAAGTATTTACAAAAATAAATTGGCGCTTTTTTTTGTTGATACGTACAAATAAACCTTAACCTATACTTAAGAATCATATTATATGCAAGAAAAACAACCATTAACAATAAACTTTATAAGAATATATTAAAAATAATTTATAAAGTTTTATAACATGCGTAAAATTATTACGTTTGTTTAATTTTAAAGAATGTTTGTGTATGGTACAGTAAAATGTAAAATTGAAATAATAATGTGTTTAGAGCAATTGAATTACAACAACTTGATTTATCCTTACACTAAAGATGTTATGATTCGTTAATTAAAATCCATGGCACACATTTGCATGGAAATAAAAGAGAGGTACCTAAGCTACAACCATAGGTAAGAACCATTTTATTAAAGCCTTATGAAATAAAGGTAATAATTATGTGATGCTTAATACAATTACAGAAAGGAAAATATTATAATCAATCTATTTAAAACATGAAAATGGAGAGTTTATATATACCTGATTAATTAACAAATTCCAACGCACTTTCAGATCACAATTATGTACTTCTTTCTTGAAGATTCAGTAGCCATTTTTCATTGTTTGTTGTGTTTTGCTTATTAGTTCAAATCAATGTCATTCAGTGTTTAGTACACACTTAAACTTACACATTTTACATAACACATATGTACTTTTCCCTGAGACTATTTTCTATTTCAACCCAAACAGTCTAGGCTGATTTTCTCTTCTTCTCTAATTGAGCAGATGTTGAATAACCTTTCATCGACTAAGGGTCAAACTCGGTTAATTCTGCGATTACAAAAATGCTGAATTCGTTTCAAAACGTGAAAATACCCAATACAAAGTCGTATAATAGATATCTTTTGTTAATGTCAAATATTATAAGATGTTTTATTTGTCTGTCTGCAATTTTCAATATACTAGGAATAATTAGACAAAAATCCTATCGTAAATTATTATAATAGGCATAAAAGCGTAATTATTTTATTAAGATTAATAATGAATTTAAATTATGACATAGAAGAAAAACTTTTCATGTGTCCTAATTAT